AATCTGATCCAGATTGAATACAATGCAATTTTTTTAAAAGCTGAGCAGGCTGTTGAGAACTGGGAAACATGTATGTGAGTTTAACTCAAAAATTCTCTTCTCTGGCAGTTGTTCCACATGCCAGTTAAAGGGATATTTGAGTCCATTTGCAGCTTCAGGTCAGGACTAGACCTGCCAGTCACTGACAAATAAGGGAACTCCCTACCTTGGAATTTCCCTTTATTTAAGGTAATTTTTGCAGCCAGAATAATTCTGTTATTCTTTATTCTTTGCAAAATTACAGATTATATTGGCTTTATTTTGTAAAAAAATACCCCCACAAATTAAAAATCCCACAACTATTTCCCCAGCTATTGAAGAAGGGGATAATTCATCCTGACAAATAACCCAAATCTCTGCATGTCAGTATCCATGTTTATCAGATAACAAAGGATCTTTTTGTTCCAAAGTAATCCACATTTGGGTTTTATTATTCAAAGAGAGGATTTTGGTTTTTTTTTTTTTTGTGAACGTGGAGCTGAGGTTTACAGACACATTCAAATACAGTCTACAAAGCAGCACATCCTCTAGGCGAAGGCAGGATAATACTGTAGTTGTAGAGAAAAAATCCTGCAGTAAATTGCATCCTCCTGACATTTGTTTTACCAGGGAAAGAAGCAGGGGGATGCTACTATCTACAGAACGTATTTGCAGAATAGCAGTAGGCTGGCCAGCGTGGGGAATGGGTGTACTGGTGGCCATTTGGCCATTTAGCAGATTACCACGCCAATGACCCTGCGGTTCCCTACAGTCAGTGCTCCCTGGCTAGGTTCTGGTGCTTAAAAAATGGAAGCAAGATTTAATAGAAATTAGCAGATTTTGTGTAATTGTACTAATTAGAGCTTATATTAATATTTCACCTGATTGAGGAAACAGTGCTGAGCCTCTCTAAAGCAGCCCATAAAACTCCCCACACCCGCTACTTTTTTACTGGGTGAGGTTCAGTTGGCCAAGTCCTGGAAAGACCAGGATGCTGCTGCCAAGCTGTGTTCTGTGACCTTGTGGAAACGGGGAAAGGGTAGACTTAAGCAGTGCTCATTGCCACACACCTTTTCCCTGAGATACATACAGAAGACATAGTGGAGCTCAGACAGACTTCTGTACCGACAGTATCTTGGTCCTCTGGTCTGGTCTGCTATGCTCTGGTCTGCTTCTTCAGGATGACAGGGGGACTACACATGCTTTTCTGCCTTTAGAGCGGCAGTTAAAACATGCGCTCTGCCTTAGCTAGTGGACTGTTTATTGGCTTCTTTCTAGTATTCATGAGAGTGCTGATTTCACTGAGGAATCAATTTCTTAACATGGTTAGAGACTTGTTTTTAGCTAAAATGGAGATTCTCTACAAATTTGATCTCATGCCCCATTAATCAGAGCAGTGATCCCTTAGCAAGAAAGATAAAAAGTGTTACCACTGCTGCCTCTGTCTGCATTTGCAAGCTCTGGGCAGCAACAGCAGTTCAAACAGGTGAGTATTAAGTAATCAGGCCACCTCTGCAAGACATACACATTCAGAGTTCCCTGCTTCACTGATGCCTTCAAGTGTAAACCTGACAATTCTTCCAGTACAACACTGATGGCTCCTCTCATCTTTCAGCTGGCTTCTGTTCCCTTTTTTCCAAGTGTTGCAACTGTGCTGTTGGGGACTTTTTTTCCAATTTTCCATTCTTCATTCTCCTTCTTTTAAAAATTGTTTTCCTGTCTGTCATCACAGATCCTGCCCTACTGTAGTTCCTCATATTGGCTCACTGATCCTCGCTGGCTTGCTCATTCACTTTTCTCTTTCTCCTCCAGATGCTCATCTCTGCTGAAAATCCCGTAGCCAGGCTTCACAACGCATCTGTGCTCTTCTGCCTTGGATGTTGCATCTTCCTGTCTAAACCACCTGCCTCTCCAGTTCACAACCTTGAATGGCTTTTTCTCATCTCCTCATACAATCTCCATGTTCTGCTTTTTTTTTCCTCTCTAGGACCATGCTATTTCTTCCAAGAGATAATTGAAAAAATGTTACCGACTCCCACTCCTTGTTATTTGTTTTTCCTTTCTAACCATACAGCTGCTTTTTCTGCCTCTTTCAGTGCCACAACTGCACCCACATCTGTCCCACTAACCTTCTCTCACCTGAGCAGCCTTGCACTCATTCTGTCTTTTATTCTTTTCCTTAGCTAATCTGGCTCCTCACTTTAAAATATAGTCTCTCTGATTTTAAAAAACTTTCCACTTCCCCCTTGTCTGCCCTTGTTTCCATTACTTTCCATCTCAACTCACTGAATGAAACTCCCTTTGGTTGCTCTGTGAGGTTTACCACTTTGGGTATAGGGACTTATGTTGTACCTTCTGCTGGGGATAGTTTCTGACTGTATTAGTCTCTTGGTTATCATCTTACGCTTCGACTTAAGAGTTGTTTGTGGCAGAGCCCATATTTTCATCTTGGGTTTGCAAAGAATTGAGCATCACTGTGTTCCCTTCCTTGGCTGGAGCTCAGAGCTGCAGTGCAAATAATAAATAATGACAGAATGATGAATTCTGTACTTTAGCACTGCCATCCACTGGCTGTCTTTGATCACGACACTCCATATTTGACTAAAATCTTAAAGTTTTGTTTTTGTTTCATCTGCTGCTACTGAAGTGGAATGTATTATTGTAAGCACACTATCTGAGATTAATGGAAATGCCAGAAATCTTTATGCTATATTCCTTCCAAATAAAAGATGTATGCCTTTTGCTTTCTATTTTGCTTTACAAAGTGAAATACCGAGCTTGGTAACACAAGTACTGAAGAATCAGGGGATTCTAGGTTAAACTGTTATGTACAATTAATTCATCTGCATTACCTGAATGATGTGTATGTTTTGTAATATATTTTGCTCATGCTTAAGAAACGTGCAATACTTAAAATTAAGCATGTAGACAGATGCAAAAGGAAAATAGGATAATTTGGAATTAATCTAAAATTCATGTGATACTTCCCCTGACAACTCTTCCAGCCTCCACCTCATTTAGGAATGTCCTGAACTGGAGTGGTTTCTCTATTTTAATAATCTTCAGTGGGTTTCCTTTCCATAAGCATATCCATATATAAAGAGCTTTGTGGTATTTTTTCTTTACTTTTTTTTCCTTGCTATTTTACCTTTTTAAACTCTCCCTCTTTCATTCCTTGGTCTTCTTTTGCTTAATTTCTATGAAATAACCAAGGTTATTACAACTAGGCTTACTGATATATGACTAGTGTTCCATGGTTAAACAACTTGCCTTTTACGTTTCCCTAAGTGCTCCCATCCTAAACAGTAGCAGGAATATTTACCTTCTTGGTACAACAGCTCCTCTGTGACAGGAGACTGTGAAAATCTATCCAGATGTGAGGACAAATAAATTTTATATGCAGGTGTGTTTTAAGAAAATTTTGAAAGGAAGAAGAGATACAAATATCCAAAGGAAAAAGCGTGCTCAGTGTTTCAGTAATTCAGTTGTTTATCCAGTTTACTGCCATGTGCTGAAATTGTAGGAAACCCAGAAGTGGATTATGAGTTCAAGGATGGAGCACTAATTGAATTCTTAATTGAAATGACTCTTCTAAGCAACATAGTGACCTGGATTGCCCCCCTGAATGTAAAAGAATGGTATCCTGGCACAGGTGCCACACTAAAAGTTTGAGTCTTGCCCATCTAAAAGAAAGGTTATCTGTCAGAGGAAGATTTGCTGGAAGGGGGTCACTATTTGCAAGTGAGATGTGTTCTTCCTTACAATGACAAGGCAAGACGGATTGGTCTTTTTCTCATTCATTTTGTCTCAATCAAAATTGGTCACACTAGGCACAAAGCTTACTAAGTACTTCAATCTACAGGACTTCACTGAAGTATGGACCTTATGCAAACTCTCTGTACATGAATTTTTCTCATCTTGACACTTACATAGGAAGAGAGCTATAATTAGATGGACTAATCAACATTTCTAATAATGATATGTAAGCTGAAAATAGGAGTGTTCAATTATAATGACTGCAAGTTAAATATCAGGCAAAATTTCACTCACTGTTATGAAAACCTTTTTCCTTTTTTGTACGTACTGACTTATTTTTAAAGAGGATATTGATTGGGTTTTGCCTCATTAAAAAAGAGCATTTATATTAATGCTGGATTTTTAATGCTTTAGACTTCCTTGTTCACTAGAGGACTCTTAGAAGCCTGGTCCTTTGTTTTAGTGATTTATAATTGAACCATAAACACCTACTTGGCAGTGAAATTTGGAGCACATAAGGCAAGCAAACAAACAAAATTAGTTATTCTTAATTTCTACTGCTTACAAGTGACTAGGAGCTAGGATATTTAACATGTTTTTAGTGCCTTACAAATAAACAGAGATTTGCATCTGACTTCCACTACCCATGCAACCTGGGGTCTACATATACTTGAAAATTATGACCCACTAGCAGAAAATACATACATCACAGAAAAATAGTGAGAGAGGTTAGAGTAACTTTCCAAATGCCTTTTGTTAAAATTTTGCCATTTAGTTAAAAGGATATTTGAAATATTTTTTGCCTCTCTTGAATTTATTAATTTCTGCCAGCTGGTGAATCTTTTCTCTAAAAACCTGAAGATACCTGGTACAAATAAATGGAATCTTTTTCTTGAGTTTGCATCACTTCTCTTGAAAAGAACTTAATAGCCAGGAAATCAGAGTTCTCCTCAGTGTTTTGATACACCAGTATTGACTGTCCTCATTATTCTGTCAAAGCTAATAAAGTGCAAAAACACATCAAGTACACTCTCATGATATCCTTACTTTCAGAGAACTGCAGAAACAAGTACAAGCTGCATTAAAGAAATAAACAAACAATTATCCGTGACTTCAGGAGCGTAAGTGATTGCTGTCTTTGATTTTTGAAAGAAATTTCATGTGGCTGGAAAAATCTTAAGACAGAGGACAAAATATAGGCTAAAAGTATTTTATAATGTACTTACATATCACTTGCAATGGAGGAGTTCCTGGACATGGACTTTGGAGAAAGGTCATAGTCACTGTCTGACCGGTAAAGGAAAGACTCCCTGCGTTGACTGTGGACAAAATTTGCCTGAAGAATTAGCCCTGATCCAGGGCTTGTCATGGGATCCAAGGGACTTCGTCCCGATGATGTACCATTGTCTACATCGAAACTGAAAAAAAAAAAGCAAAAAAGATTTATGCCATTGACATAGAATTTTGAAAGTAATAAACACTCTTCCGACAAATTTGTTGCTAGGTAATTGCTTCTTGATACTAATGGAGAAATAAAGACCTGGCCAATTCCACTGCTAAGCCAAAAAATACACTTTAAAATTGCTGATAACCAAAAAGAACAAGTCTGAAGGAAAAGAAATTTGGTAGAGAAAGAAAACACTACTAGGAATACAGTAAGCCTTTGCTTCTCTGCATGTAGAGTATCCGTGAGCTCTATACCTAAGAAAACATGATGTTTCATTGTTTTCTTCCTCAGGCCCTGTCTCTCCTGAGCTGGACCCTCATTCTCCTGTCTCCCACTGTTGAAGCAGTTGAAGGCACTTTTGTTATCAAGTACTCAACCCTAATATTTCATTACTACCCAAATATTTCAAGAACATTATTTTGTGTTATCCCACTAAACAAAGAGCTGGGTTGGGATTAAGGCATATGTGTGTGCCTGGGCATGTTTGCATGCATTAGAGTTCCTATTTTACAACCAGATTGAAGAAATGAGTTTGTTGCTTGCTGCCAAGCAGCACGACTTCTGTGGCCATTCATGTCTTTGAACTACACAGTTTAGATCCAGCATTTCTAGCTACTGTATTTGGTATTAAGAGTGGTAAACAGGTTTATCATTCCTAGAGAACACTGCCATCATCCCGGCCAGCAGGAGCAGGGAGGTGATTGTCCCCCTGTACTCGGCGCTGGTGAGGCCGCACCTGGAATACTGTGTCCAGTTTTGGGCCCCTCAGTACAAGAAAGACATTGAGGTGCTGGAGCGTGTTCAGAGGCGGGCAACGAAGCTGGTGAAGGGTCTGGAGAACAAGTCTTATGAGGAGCGGCTGAGGGAACTGGGGTTGTTTAGCCTGGAAAAGAGGAGGCTGAGGGGAGACCTTATCGCTCTCTACAACTACCTGAAAGGAGGTTGTAGTGAGGTGGGTGTTGGTCTCTTCTCCCAAGTAGCTAGCGATAGGACAAGAGGAAATGGGCTTAAGCTGCGCCAGGGGAGGTTTAGACTGGAAATTAGGAAAAATTTCTTTACGGAAAGGGTGGTCAGGCATTGGAACAGGCTGCCCAGAGAGATGGTGGAGTCACCATCCCTGGAGGCGTTTAAAAAACGGGTAGATGTGGCACTTCGGGATATGGTTTAGTCTGGTCTACCCTTGATTAGTCTAGAGTGGGCTTGGTAGTGTAGGTTAATGGTTGGACTGGATGATCTTAAAGGTCTTTTCCAACCTAGATGATTCTATGATTCTATGATTCTATGATTCTATGATTCTATGATCATGAGAGGCAGAAGTGTGAGGGGAGAGAAAGAAAGAGAAGGAGAGAGAAGATGCTCTTTCACATAGTCTGTGATGTTTCCACAAAGGACTTTGAAAATCAGTGCAAAGACCTTGAATGGGAGCCTGCAATCAATTAGAAACTAGCACAGGGTGGGCAGTGCTGGGAGGACATGCTCATGGCAACCCGCGTTGCTCAGCAGCCCGACAGCTGAGTTTGGTACCATATGGAGTCTTTTTGGAGCATGTGGCTCCATTTTTAGATTGAATGTGTTGTGGTATGCAATCTCAGAGGTCACAAATATGTGGATTAGCAAGATTATGTCTCCATCTGATGGGATGGAGCACATTTTATCCAGAAGTGGAAGATGGGTTTTGTTTCCCTAGTTGGTTGTGTCTCTCAAACCAAAGATCAATTTTAGTTTTACAGCACAGTAGGAAAGGTATGCATGAGACCTTGGCTTATAACTGCTTGGGCTCATCTGCCATACTAATGGGAACTGAAATAATACTGCTAAAGCATTTAGGAATGAGGTATGAATAGAGGATCTTCCACAATTTTTAAACACGGATAAGTGTTAGCATCATAGTATGTATTTGTAATGAACGCATCTAAAGTACTAATTTTGAAAACACTGTTCACGTGAAGGACACTCACTCCTTTTCAATTATATCTAGTAACAGCAGAAAAGAAAATATTCAGTACGTATCATCTGTTGGTTAGACTTCAGTCTGGTACAGGTGTCACAGCAGGTACATGCTACCCTCTGCACTAGCTTGCTTCTTGCTGTTATCTACCATTGACGTGAGGTTACAATGAGGTTGCCGCTTTAATGTTTTACTGAAGTGACAGCATTCTCATGGCCTATTTTTCTTTGTTAAATGAACTAATCAAAGAAACATATATTGCCTATTTTGACAGAGATGCACATTGCCTGGCAGAGAATGGACCTTGGTTTCATGTTACTTTGCACATATTCCTGGAACTGCAAGCTTTCTGCCACTCTCAGACTATATTACTTATTTTTTATTCACCTTTCACTGTTTGAATGTAGAAAAGCAAAAAAAATATTTTTTTTCAAAAAAACTATTTAGACAATGGCATTAAACACACTTCAAGAAAGCTTAGCCATTTAATCCTCTTTTCACTGTAGTTTTCAGAATGATTAACTGTCAGTAAATCCTAACACATACACTTCTTCTCAAATTTGGTTTCTTTTGATTATGCTTCAATACTTCTTCTGTGTCCTCAAATGTGCTACTACTACATGACATTATCAATCTCAAGCTAACAAAGCTTAATCAGTAAGGCTTCAAATGAGAGTTCTGCTACCAGCCTGCTGGGTGATCCTGGACAATGCAAAGCTCCTCTTTGCATTTCATTTTCCCTATTCATTGCATCTTTGTGATCATTGTGAGATCTGCTCGCAAAAAAAAAATTGAAAAAATATTGGAAAAGGCAAGATAACACAAATACTACAGTAAAACATCCTTTGCAGCTTATAGTGCCATAAGTTGATAACCATATTGCCATTGCTACTAGCATGACTACTATTATTCAGTAGCAATCAGTATGTTTTCAGTTTGAATTCCTGAGTATTCCAGGAGCACAAAATACTCACAATGCCAATGAAGAGTTTGGAACCTCTGTGAGCTCATCGTATCCAAATTTCCTAACACTTCTATTTCATTGCCTAATAAAATAATTTTTTCTTTTAACAGCTGCAAGAACACACAAACGCCTAAACAAACACAGCCTGTATGTTTTGTTTTTCTATTGAGGGCAGGAGGGCAGACCTTTCATGCAATTGTAGGTAAAATAGAAGAGGATTGTTTACTCCTGTGCTCAATCAAGACTAACTTCTGCAATGGCAGTATAATTTCAAATTTTTATTTTTTTTTTTTTTAATGCTTTGGGTTGGAAGGGACCTTTAGAGGTCATCTAGCCCAACCCCCCTGCACTGAGCAGGGACAGCTTTAACCAGATCAGGGTGCTCAGAGCCCCATCCAACCTGACCTGGAATGTTGCCAGGGATGGGGCCTCCACTAACTCTCTGGGCAACCTGTTCCAGTGCTTGACCACCCTCATTGTAAAAAAATTTCTTTCTAATGTCTAGTCTAAATCTATTCTTCTTTAGTTTAAATCCATTATTCCTTGTCCTGTCACAACAGGCCTTGTTAAAAAGATTCTCCCCATCCTTCCTATGGGCTCCCTTTAAGTACTGGAAGGTTGCAATAAGGTCTCCTCTAGGCTGAACAACCCCAACTCCCTCAGCCTGTGCTCACAGGAGAGGTGCTCCAGCCCTCGGATCATTTTGGTGGCCCTCTTCTGGACCCACTCCAACAGGTCCATGTCCTTCTTGTGCTGAGGGCCCCAGAGCTGGACACCAGTGCTCCAGGTGGGGTCTCACCAGAGCAGAGTAGAGGGGCAGAATCACCTCCCTCAACCTGCTGGCCACGCTGCTTTTGATGCAGCCCAGGATACGGTTGGCTTTCTGGGCTGCAAGTGCACATTGTTGGCTCATGTCCAACTTTTCATCCACCAGTATCCCCAAGTCCTTCTCCGCAGAGCTGCTCTCAATCCCTTCATCCCCCAACCTGTATTGATACCGGGGGTTGCCCCGTCCCAGGTGCAGGACCTTGCACTTGGCCTTGCTGAACCTCATGAAGTTCACACAGGCCCACCTCTCCAGCTTGTCCAGGTCCCTCTGGATGACATCTCGTCCTCCTGGTGTGTCAACCGCACCACTCAGCTTGGTGTCATCTGCAAACTTGCTGAGGGTGCAGTCGATCCCACTGTCTATGTCATTGATATATAAGCTTGTCTGAAAGCTCTAAAGCAAAAATTAAAAGTGGGATAGAAATAAATGAAGGTAAACGTAAGACTATCTCACAGCAGGAAAATTTTGAATAAGGAATGACTACTAAATTGATTTCTTTAACAGTGGACTTAATTATTCAACTGATTAAAAGGTATTATATTGGATTAAAGGAATGTTTGTTTTTGTACGCAGATTTGTTTTATTTTCTTCACTGACCTTTTGTGGACATGATATGAATATTTTATAACCAGTCCCAGTCAGAAACTAAGGCAGGCTGCTATGAATGATTTCACTGTCAGATTACAACATAGTGAGTTTTTAAAATTTAAAAGTCTACTAGATAAAATTGCAGTTTCATCAGCTGGGACAGGCCCTGTGGTTTGCATTGCCCAATAACTACATGTATGTGCAAGACCTGCACGTGGCTCTTGTGACAGAAATTTTATCCTGTGATACTGTGTTGTGTCCACTAGATGGGAGTCAAAACTAATGAAAAGGATTCAAATATATCAGCTACGATTTGGCTCATACTGCTCAACGAAAATTTCTTTTATGTAAATATGCATCAAGAAAAAAACACCATTCAGTTCTACAGTCAAAGGGGGAGTGTGAATACAACATTGGTTTGCCAGAAACATATGTTTATATTAAAAAGTTTCTAAAATGCTACAACATTTAAGTGTCTTGTCTAGCTCTTACTTACTGAGATGTTTGCTAACACTTCAGGTACAAAAGCTTGTAGAAATCCAAATGAAAAATTTGTTATTAAACTGAAAATTAAATTGTTTCTTTGGCTGAATCACAAGTCTTAATTGCAAGAAATGGCACTGCTGATCACACTGCATCAAATGAACAGAGAATCAGAATGGGGAATTGAAGGCTTCCACACAAGTTGTTTGTTCTTTCTTGCTGCATACACTGAAAAAAATTAAGTTTAAGATACAAAATAAGACAGATTCTCTATGTTGCCTGGACAGAAACTGCATAAAGTCAGCTTGTGGTTGCTTCATATTTATCTTTCCACTCCTGTTAAGTTTTAAGCCACAGGAAGAATATGCTGTGAATTAAACAAGTGCATGTTCAGTGACAAACAAAAAGTTATTCTCTCCCCAGCGTGTTCCTCAGCCTCTTTGCACTTTTGGTGGTGGGTAGTCTTTGGAAAGGAAGAAGGAGCATGGAAGTTGTTACTGAAGGCACAGGAACTGTTTTGCTTCCGTTTCACAGGCAGAAAGTGGCAATTTAAAGACAGAATCTTCCACCGTTGTTCTGCAGCCAGCTTTGGGTACTTTGCACAATGTATGCAAACTGAAGCTGCTTCTAGTGACAGGAATATTTGGCACAGCAAACATCACAGAACTCTCTATGTTCAAAGAGCTTTGCTGCAACTCCAGAGATGCCAAAGCTATTAGAAGCCAGTGCTAATTCAACAACTTTTGTGTCTAAATTTTGACAAAATATTTTATGACATTAGTGGATACTGTTTATCCTTAGAGCCTGCCTTATTCAGTGTTCAGTGATGACAAACACGACATGAAATGAAAGTTCAGCCTCTTTTCCTTTTTTGGCTATTTATTGTGTTTTCATGTCTTGCCCACCCATGTATCATCCAGGCTCTGTACTCAGATGGGGATGAAGATGGTGAACTCTACTGAGTGACTTGTAAACATTCATGGCTGATCTTCCCTGTGGTCCTAATAGGACAAGAAGTAATAACATCACAAGCAACCTTTAGGAAGATTACTAATGATTTGCTTCAGGCAATAGTAGGACTCGGTGGCAAGGACAGGAGAGATTCTGGATCCTGGATCTCAGCAGCACTGCTTCATTGTTAACGACTGCATAGCTTCTTTGCCCAGTGAAAGAAGCCGTCTGTGGACTTCCTTGTGAGTCCTTAAATAACTCTCTCCTACTCTCTGCAAGGTTGCTAAAAGAAAAAAAGGGGAAGATCTGTGTACAAAATATAGCTTTCGGTTACTTAAAGAGTAATGGCATCATAATGAATAAGCACAAGAGCTTGTAATTAAGGCTGCATAGAAAATCTTAATGTTGGTCTTCCTTATTATTGCGAGTTTAGCAATTTAATCCTGTAGCTCTTTTTGGGGGATTTTTGTTTTGTTTTGTTTTAGAGAAGTCAGCAATAGTAAAAGAGGGAAGGAAATAAATTCCATCCCAAAATGAAGAATTTACTAGACTTTTTAACAATACAAATTGCACTCCGGATATTCCCCTTTTAAGTCTCTCTCCACCTTCAGCCTGTCCTAGCTTGGAAACTATAGGGAGGGAGAGAGGTATGAGCCAAATTAATTGATCCTCTAGGGACACCTTATCTTTTAAGGCCATCTTTAGACATTACAGAGAGACAAGCAAGTTGTAGAGGGACAGATTTTTGCTCCCATCAAAGGAGGCCATTGTCCTAGTGTCAAGCAATCTCTCCAGACATCCCTCTGTGCTATGACCTACCTATGCATCTCAATGTCCTTACTTAGCAGAAGTCCTGTCCTGAATTTTCACCTGGAAGCACAATCCCACCATGACACTGAGTGGGTGCCTTTGGCATAGCAGCTCTGATTCACTGAAATTATCACAGAAGAGCTGCCCTGTAGCAATTTCCTTTGGGCAGGGTCTTATTGAGAGGAAAACAAGGTAATAAAACTTTATTTACATCTCCAAGGAAAAGGTAAGCTATTTATCACTTCTGCTCTGGGACAGGACCCCACCCCTGGAGGAGGCAGCCTGTAGCTACTGGAGAGAGGGGAGGATCAGATGGTTCCTTCAAATACAGAATCCAAATTTGTTACTTGGATTGCTTGGGATGAAAAAAGCAGTTGGCCACCTCAGCTGGTGAGACCCAGGGTGGATGTGGAGGGTTATAGAGAAAGGCCACAGTATGCCTGTCTCTAGGATCGTTCGGTATAAAAGCCCAGGAGGTATGGGAAGGCTCATTCCCTGGGATGCGATGGGCAGAGTGTAGTATGCTCTTAGACCTTCTGTGCATTAATTACTGTGTATCCTGGAGATGTGTGTGTCTCAAGTCAAAGCAGGACAGTTTAAAGTTTTGTTCTTAGACATGATGGACTTAGTAGGACAGACCATTTCAGTTACTGTGGAAATGACACTCATTGTGACTCAATTCTTCAAAAAATGTAGAGACTCCTGAAATACTGTCATTAGAAAGCATTTTGCGTGAGGTGGACACTGATTCTGTTATATTAATTTTACCGCTCTCAGTCAGAGAAGGCAGTGCAAAGGATAAATGAAGACAGAGACAAAAACCTCTTCCTCTGGAACAGACATTATCTGCTAATAAGAACTGAATTTTCTTTTGATGCATTAGGTGGTTAAATTCTGGTTTACTTTATATGATAATATTTTCACTGAATTCAGCTGTAAATCTGTCCAAAGATTTGCTAATACACCAAACAATTATGATAATTTCTTTGTGAAATACTGATTTAGACATACTTTACATCCATTAACTAGACTGGACAAGCACTTTGGTTATGTCTTTATGACTTCTCTTGGGCCTTTTTATTGCTTATTAATAAACTAAGCATTAAACTGAGCCAACAGCTGACTTGGGTGTCCCCTTTTTTGCCAGACACAGTTATCTCCAGAGTTTAATAAACACAAAACTTTAGACTTTTCCTTATTGGAAAGAAACAAGTTGTCAGTAATCAGCCCCTGCCATAGGCTCCCACTGGACTTTAGATATTAAATATCTTAACCTGCAGCATCAGAAAAAAACCTGTAAAAATAAATCAGAGGATTTATATATTGAATAGCAACCCTAACATTTATTTCTTAAATGAATTCTCTGCTCGGGACCTTTCAAAATGTTTCCTGTCTGACAATGTCTACCCAGTGATGCAGGAGAGACCACATCTGGTTTTCTCCTTCTACTTTCCTTTCTGTCTCTTCCCCCATGCCTAGTAAAAACTAAAGACCTCAGTAAAATGAGGAAAAAAAAGGAGACATATTCATACTGACATTTTAGAGGGAATATCATATCAGATCTCTTTGAAGAAAAAAGTGATTTATATGTGACCTGATATTTTTATTTTCTCCATAGCAAAGTTAAAGTTAACAAAAACTTTTGCCTTCCATTGCTTAAAATATGTTCAGTGAATTGTAAGCAAATGATATTAAAAGGAACATATGATCTAAATCTGAATTTTCTTGTACCACTGGAGAATTCAAGCCAACTATCTACTTGTGGCTTTGGGTTTCCAAGTTAAGTGATTCAGCAAGCAAGCCCTATGATTAACTCTGTTTTTAGAAGTGGTGTGGATAGATTTTCCAGTTTCAAAACTGCAAGCAAAAGAAGAAAATGTGACATTTCATGAAATTTGCTTTTAGCAGCAGAACTTGGCTTTTGCTCTTGGCATAACTGGTTTTGGAAACATTTAGAGTGTAACAAGGCTTAATACTAATATTAAAAGCCCACGTAACAGGCAAATAGAACACATGTAGGACAAAAAATACAGTGATGCAAAAAGGTTTCTAAGAATTAGTCTACTCAAACATGTTAGCAAAGGAACTCCAACTATTTATTTGAGCTTCTGTCTCATGATTTTCTAGTAAGCATCTTAGGAAATGTAGCTGATCTCTCTAAACAAACCATTTCATGTTTTGTCATGAAGTTTCTAAGCAAGGAGTTTTCTGTGACGACTCTTCCGTATCTTTGGGTGTTTTCCTTATAACAGTCTCCTCATACTCAATTCAAGGTATACTTTCTATAATGTCACCTCATTATTCTTAATTAGACCTCAGTGGTCTATGCATTTGGCACACAAGCCTTTGTTGCACCTATTAAATCAATTTGCTTGTTGCGCTCAGCCATACTGGGATTCTTTTTGTGATTCCTTTTATTCTTTCCTTGGAAAGAGGATCATTCCTCACCTGGCAATTATTGTTCTCTGAACTTGGCTCCTGCAAGTGAACATCTTCCTACTAATGTGATGTTCAGATAAGAATGTCAGATCCGGATCCTGTTTCATGGATTTGATGTTTTAATGTTTCTTTGAAGCTGAAATAGTTGTCTTATTGCAGTATAATACAATTGCAAACAAAAAACACAAGAGAAACAAAATGCAAAATAATTTCCAAGAAATGTGGTAATCTGTTCAGGGTTCTACTAGGTTTAAGTCACTTTGTATGGTTCTTCTGTTCTAATAATCCTACTGGGACTAGTATCCCCATTTTTAGAGAATAAAAAAAGACCACCCAGACATTAACTGTTTTCCCCAAGGCTTCTGGTAAGATCTGTGTCTAGTTGCGGTCCGAATGAGGAAACCTGCAGAAAATATTGACAAATTGGAACTATTTTGGGTAACCTGAGGTGAAGAAGGCTGAAAAATAGAACGACTTAGTGCAGACATGAGAAAGAGTAGGCAGCAAATCTGGAGGTGCTCCCGAGCAGCCTGCCAGCCAGCTGGCCCCAGCCACCTGCAGGCTCCCACTGCTGTGGGCGCCTGTCAGCACCACCACACTTCTAGGAGTGCAGTCTCAGCAGGACTGATGGTTCCCCACTTTATTATTGTCATTATTTAATTATAGTCTATCTGTCACCATTCACTTAAATCATTCCATAATGTTGTCTGCACTTATTTTCCGTAAGGTACCTTTGCTCTGGGCTCTAAATACTAAAGTACTTTCAACCTCTTTTTAAAAAAATCACTTTACCTAATTTCTTCAAGAAATTCTAGAACAACACTGTTTTTCTTTCCACTGCTTCTCTTTTGATCCAACTATTCCCACTTCTTTTTCTGCAGCACTGATTTCTGAGCAGTATTTAGACACTGGGATACAAAACCAACTTGCACTGAGTATGACTATGTAACAGGTATTTACTGTAATTCACATTGCTATTAATTTTCTCTTATTTTAAATGTATTGGAATAAAATCTCAAAGCATTTCAAAATGTTTATCTAGCAACTTATAAAAGTATGCAAACTATCCATCAAGCATACTGACTAATCCTAATTAAAATGCAGCTCCCCTAAGATACTAGCAGAACACCTTTCTTTCAGGAAAAACTAAAATATAAAAATGAATGTAAGATCATGGTTGAGAAGCAGACTGCTGCCAGAGAAGAAGCTCAGCCTCCTCTTTCTGTGAATTCAGTCTGATGCCAATATCAGAAGTGGCCAAATTGCTTATATATTCTTTCTGAATTAGTGGTGTGATAAAGCAAGTATGTAGGAAAAGAGGTAGTTCCTCAGACCTGTAATATTTAAATCACTACCCTACAGTACTGATGAAAGCACACAGAATCCAGAAAATAGGAATAAATGTTCCCCAAGGCTAACACTGGTATGCACTGGTAAGCTTCCTGGCAAAAACATCCTTTGAAGAATCATCATATATAGCCACAATGATGATAAACACTTGGCACAGTCACAGAAGATATGGTTACATGTACCCTGTGCTTAGTGGCAGAAATCTTTGGCAAAGAGTGCCCCAGCCAGAAGCTGACAGGAAAAAACAGTTGTGGTTACTCCTGGCTACTCTCCTGTCCCAGAGAATGCAGCTCACAAGGAGGTCCAAAGAGCCAGGAGGTGCAATCATCATGACAAGAGGAGGTCACGTACCTCAGAATCACCCAGCTTATAATTATTAAGTCTTTTGCACACAGGAGCTTAAGCCAACCTGTCTTCAAAAAACATGTCTCCCAGAAACAGAAAAGTCCAGAGAGAAGGTCTATAGCCCAAACTGTAAGAACCCTGCACACAGAATAGAAGATGGCTTGTTTCACCAGTACGATGTGCACACGTAGACATCCACAAGAAATCAAGGCCAGCTTCAGAGAGAGTGGACAGGAGGCAGCTGGATAAGAAATTGCAGTTGCCTCTTTAGGCAAAGAAAGCGTCCTCCAGTGTTGCTCAAGATTCCCTATGCCAAGGAAAGCTCCATGAAAAGGAGACGTAATTATATTTGACAAGCAACATTTTTTTCTCACACTGTTGTAAAATTCCTCTAATTGCAATAAACAATTGCTGACAATAAATCACATATGAATTCTACTTCCACAAGAATTCATGTTGGGATATGTTAGCAGCAATTATCACTTAAATCATGGCATGTATTGTTTAAAGCTTAAAAGCTCAAGGTATTAAGACCTTCAGAGCTCTAAAATTTTTGTACTTTGTTTTTTCAAAATTGTTTCATTGAAATCCTTTCTACTTCAATTCTTTCCATTTCAGTTCTTTACATCTGGGTGTTTGGATTTTTTTTTTTTTTGCATTTGTATTTTTTATATTGTATTTTTGTATTTAGTTTACCAAATTTGCTGAAGTTTTAGTTGCTTCCACTTCCCTAGACTTCTACTAAATGTATCGAGGTCCACTTCATGATTTGGTTTCTGGAAATCCTTTTTACAGCTTTGCCACATACAAGCAACAACCTTTAAAGGGAAACAAAAAGGTCACAAGCTTGCCCTGGAAGGGTGCCGAGACTGGAATATCTTGAATGTATGTGCTCATACTGTATTTTATTCTATACTGATTGTAGACTCTGAGCACATTCACTGAGTACCTGGTATGTCAAGAAAGATAATTCTTGTCACTAGTCCAAAACAAATTGTAATCTATGATAATGGGTCATTTGGGGCTTATTTTTCCTGATTTTTATTACATTATTTTAATGCAATATTATATTATTATGATGCCAAATAACATTACCTGAGAGGGTTGCCTGACACTCCGCATTATAAGACTGTTTCCTTTTTTCCATTATGAAATTCTGTCCAGTGGTGCTGAAATTCCTTCCAACTTTGTTTGACAAAAAATAGGTCAACTGTGGCAGAGAAATGTATATTTTTTCATATTTACAAAAAAACTGGAAGCTGTTTTGTGAGATATTCTAGTGACTCATATTTTGCCGCAGAGAAGTGGAATTTAGCCAAGTGTCTGCAAAATGGGTTTTTTGCTGATTCTGTGAACATCTTCATAAATTTCAAAAACCTATAAGCTTAGGCCAACCTTAAGTCAGTCACCTCATGTATCTGCATTATTGGAAAAAAAATTAAGTGATTCTGTATTATTTTTTAAAAATCTCCTGCCTTGCTCAGTGTCTAAGAGGGCTCTGAGGAACAAGCTCCTGTCAGTGGGATATTTCCCTCATTCACTGCAGAAAGTGGGTACTGATTCAGGCAAAGGACTACAGAAAGCTAAAAGTGCTTTTATGATCAGAAACTGGAAATAATATTTGCCCAAGCTGCAGTGACTGAACTAGTCACTTACACCAATTCTACCATCCGTCACTATTACCTGTTTCTCATTCTTGAGGTATCCACTCTGAACAGCTGTTGCTTGAGCCATGTGGGCATCAGCACTTAGAAATACAGATTAATTCAGAACATCTGACAGCTACTGGATAGATCAAAGGTCCATCAGATCCACTATTCTCTCTCTAGTAGTGGCCAAAAGCAAATGCCAATGGAAGAGGGTAAGAACAAGCAGATAGAAGTGATACCTCCCCACTGCATCCCAGCCTTTCAGCATTCTCCCACCCCTTCATGACAACTATGCTCTGAATATATGAGTCATTCTAGGACAAGTGGATCAAAACCGCAAAGTCCTAGACACCTCATTTTGGTCACTCAATTTAGGGAATACTTTCACTTCAATCTCTGCGTTTTAATTCTCCTTATGTTAAGTAAGGATAATACTTCCTCATATCACATGGGTGATATGAAAATGAATTTAATCATCTCTGAGAAGTAGTAAGGTGATGAACACCATAGAAAAGCCAGTGAAAGCACTATAACTGCTTTTCTAATAGGTCTGAACAGAGGGTTGTCGATAAAGCACGTGACCACATAATGAGCAGCAAGAAAATAGAATGCCAAATGTCTCATGAATTAAGTTGCATTCTTTCTGTGCACCCAGTGAAGTAAAAGCAGTATGGAATCATATAGGTAAAGTCTTTACTAAATTATTTATGCACAGGACTAAACCACGGTTCTTAAGTCAGTTGTAATGTTAGCATTTCCTTCTTTTGTGCTTGACTTTTCAATCATAATAACATGGATGTGACTTTATTGTGTATACGTTTGTGCATGTTGGAGAGATGGCCTAATCTCTCTAAACTCTTCCATTTGCTGTTGTTTTTCTCCAATTTTCTTTTTCAGCCTACTGTAGCAGTTTTAACAGCCATTACTGGTAGACCATCAGAAATTTCAGACTTCAACTACAGTGTTGCAGATTTGCTTTCTAATGGTTAGTATACAGATGAACAAGTGCACATTCCATTTTGGTTATAATGCATGTTTGATTAACCTCATCTTTTGCAGACTTCAAGATCATTGGTACATCTCATTCACCATCTCATGATGATTAACTACTGTCATAATATAAGCATGTTCTCACTAAAATCTCTTGTGCTCCTACATTGTCTACAAAGTTCCTGTTAGTCACTGTAAGATCCCTATCGTGCACATGACTTAGATTCTGAAAGCAAAAGCTATAAAGCTATAAACACAGCACTTTACTAACAAAATAAAAAACATACTATGAGGTGTAAAATTACTATACATATTATGAAACTCTCATTTGGTACAATACCTAAATGAGCAGAAGTCTATGAGTTCTCAAGAACTGTTCACAAATTACCTAGAAACAAGAAAAACCAAAACACTAGCTGCTACAGTCTTCAAATGCCACACACAGAGCTAGCTAAGCATGTCTCACCAAAGAAGTTAGTCCTTCTCTGTGGAGGAATGCGGTAACAGAAATATCAGTTTACAGTCTTTACTTGCAACAAGGCATTATTAAACAAACTTGGAAGCCAATTTGATGTAGTGGGTTGAAACACGAACTGAGAAAAACACCCTTTTTTAAATGTGAGCACTCTGACAAGCCAAAGCTGTTAAAAATTGCTGTGTACTGTGAAACAAAATCAAACATTCTCCTCACAAAGCAATACTGAAGTGTTTTACTAAGATTTACAACTCAGCCTGCCCCATGCAGGAATACGTATCTACAGATCTATCAATACATTCAAGGACAGCTCAAGCTTTTCTCATCGATTACAGAGTTATCTGTAAGCGCAAGCCAATTCCAGAGAATGAACTCTGTGCTCCAGTTTGCATTAAGAATTTGGGAGGGCAGCAGACTGATTGTTTACTGCTGCGCTCATCCATCAACCATCCTCCCTGCTGGAACCGCTCCTCTGTTGCGCCATTCTCCATCAGGCAAAACGTGCTGCCTTTCCTCACCCTTTCTGCAAGCCCTCCCTCTAACACCAAAGGGTTACATGTTTAAACCACCAAAAGCATTGCAAAGTTTGGTCAAATTCTAACAGTTGAGCTACAGAGTTTCCTAGGATAAAACGATTAAAATGCCATCTGTTTACAAGTAGAAAAAAACAAATCAAACACGTAAGGACATCTTTTGAATTAATTCATTTCCCATTTTCATGAAAAATTGTGTATGATTTATTTTACTTTGTGCAAAAAAGCTGTTGGGCAACTTGATTCCAAAAGTCTGTTTTCTTGGTACCGATGTCATTACTAAAATTGGGATAGGCCTTGCCATAATTGCTGGCGCCAAGGAGGTGATTATTTCACTCTGGAAACATTACAAAATGTGCAATCCAAAAGACTGAGAAGGAGAAATGCCAGCATCTAGCACCAGTCCCTACAGCTGAAAAAAAATGTCACTGTAACATTGTTGCTTTTGGAACAAGCTTTGTCTCCAACTATTTTCCCCTGACATCTGGTTATTTCATCCTGTGAAGTGTTCCCAGGAGAATCAACAATTTTTCCAAATAAAAAGTACTCTTCAAGCAGTTCTTTTCAGCAAAATTCAACCTACATGTCCAAAGCTCTGCTGAGCTGATCACACACGCAGCCATGTGGTTGCGTGCCCTCCCCAGGTGGCCCCACTGTAGATGCACCATCCATCACCGTGTCTAGCCTGTGATTCCGGAGCAGAGCTCATGGTCAAAGTCTTTGGCTCTCAAGGAGAAACCTTAAGCAGATGTGGGGCCCTCCAGGCAGCCAAGGGAGGGACACTGCTGGTTTACTATGTAAGCGATCAGGAAATCCTTTGTTTCATTCTCTTCTTTTGCAGGAATGAAGTAGGATAAGAGGATACAAAAACCTGTTCTTTCACTGTATGAGTCATCCTGAGTGAATCATTTTATCCCCCCCTGTGCTTCCATTTCCCTACCTGCAAAATGGGTACTCTGTAAAGTGCTAAGAGCTCTGGTCATTAAAAAAAGAAAGATTTTGTAAGAGCTAAACTTAGTATTACTGGGAGTAGTAGTAAGAGCAGTAGAAATATCAGAAACACTGCTTTTTAAGAGCCTATCAAAAATGGATTTGGGTGGGGAAAAGGGAAATTTAGAAATTTTACTGTTTTTTCTCATAGGAAACATGTGAAGGAATAGGAAGAATAGAAGGAGAGAAAGAGTTGGTTTATTACTTGTTTTGGTACATGTACTTTTCAAGACCTTCTCATCATCAAAAATGGAGTGGAAGAAGATATTAGACCTGGTATGTCTGCAACATTTGAAAGCAAATGGAGGGAATAATGGCAAAAAAAAAAACCCAAGGGGAAAAAAAAAGAGAAAAAAAATTTGTAAAAAATTTCTTACAATAAATTTTATGGAAAAAGGTTTCAAAAAGGAAGAAAAAAATCTTTTGTACTTCAGGCAAGAAGTTGGTTAGATTTTTTTCAAATGTGCCTTTTTTTCTGTCCAGTCTATGCTGTACTTCTGTAAAACACAGAAAATCATTATGAATTCTCCTTTCAGGCAGAATGAGATAATTTTTTTTTTCATAACAAAAGAAAGGACTATAAAAAAGTTAAACAAGAATAATTATTGCAGCAGATGAAATATTACTGTGGTCTAAAGGAGAAAAACCTAACAGTGGCCAAATACGTGCTTGGCATGCCCTACTATACAGCCCTGCCAGGACAGCACGTGGGCGAGCGTCTCCTCCTGGGAATCTGGTAGTTTTGCCTTAAGGAAGCCTCAACAGCACATATTTTCCTGTACTATTCTTTTTTTACCCCCTGCAGCCATGGCTCTTTGTCAACAGATGAGAACCTGCCCATCCATGAGAAAGACATGCTTTTAAAAAGGATAGCCAATTAAGCAGGCATGCATACTATTTTCTTCTTTGAAATTTTTCTTTGAGTGTCAAAAGTTAAGGCAATAAAGACAGAAACTTGTTAATATCTGATGTCTTTCATGTGTGAATGAAATAGTGTGAGTGAAATGCCAGTACAGTTTTTGCTAATAAACTTAAGTGTCAACATACAAGTGCAACTTAGAAACAGTAAGCATAAATTTTGCAGAATAATCATGGGTTTGTACAAGTTCAGAGATTTCTACAAGGATCCTTGAGACATGAAGCGTTTGATTAAAACAAAACAAAATCCTCAAGGAATATTTAAAGTAGAGAAAAAAGGAGGGGAAATCTCTGCTTATACTTCAAATGTTGAAGTTCACACAATTCCCTGACACATGAGAAAGTGAAATAACCAATAATGGGAATATCTGTATAATTTTGACCTTCATGAACTATGATGTTACACAGTAATGTTTGTGATTGTCTCTATGTTCCATCCTTTATGGAAAGCTGGATTTAATTTACTTTCTAAGCAGCTGCAATGAAAAATATTGCACAAGAGCTGACTCTGCAAAGCTAAATTTCAGGAAATGGGGCCTCTTCTTTTGCTTCAATGAATACAATGTCTGGGCTAATTTTACATTAAAAGAACTAGGAGGTAACTCTGAAACCAAAGGCTGGTCCTGAGCCACACAGAGGTAGTACAGCAATGGCAAAGAGGTTCAGAAGGCTGATCTCAGAATCACTGTTCACCAGGATTATTATGATAAAATCCTGAACATGATAGAGAATATTCACGCACTTCAGAGAGGAAGAGCAGCAGGCAAAGGTGGAATGGACTGCACATGTGTGCGGAGAAGGGGAAGACATACAAAAAAGGATTCTTATCTTGCAAACTCATCCTGTTTAGCACATAAGTATCTCTAGCAAACAAAATTCTGTTTACCAATACTTTTCATGAAAGATTGAAGAAAAGGGATGTGCTCATGAGCAAAAGTACATTCCAAGAGCTGCTAGCCCTTAGATTTTCTTCTCCAGTTAAAACAACTGCAGTGGATTTCTAATTGATATTATCATTTTAGTATTATTGTATTTCAATAGTCTCTTCCAAGGAGTTTCAAAAGTAACTGGAAAGTTACTGGAAATTAACTTTTTCTTTCTTTTGTCATTTGGGATTTCTAATTGCCAATGAATATTTAAATTAAAATAAAATCTTATTTTGAAGCAAAAGCCCAAATA